GAGTAGCCAAAATTGAAATGTAATTTTATGATTAAAAACTGTCTTTCAAAGTTCCATATTTATTATTTTGCATACAATTTTATACCATAAAAATAGAAAAACATTTCACTTTCTTTGACTATTTATATATTAACCAATAAAATATAGCTAGGAAGCATGCTACTTTCAGATCTGTAAGTTGCTAGTGAGAAAGGTGTAAGGATAAGGATGCAGAAGAGTGCTCAGCACGCCTGACCTCCCTGGGCTGGAAATGGATCCTGATGTGAAAATGTTTTTTAGGCCTTGGCCTAGAATAGCAGTTCTCCACACTTGTGGTCACCAGATCTTTTACACTCTTTACTAAAAACTTTATAAAGAGTTTTGATTGTGTGGATTATACTGATTAATATTTAACACTGGAAATTAAAATGGGAGATTAAACTGTTGCAATCAATTAAAAAATAACATTGACTATTAGCACAAGTAACATTTTTATATTTACTTTAATTTTTTTCTCTTTTTCATTAGTGTATATTAATTATAAAAAGGGGTTTCATTGCAATTTTTCCATACATGAATACCTTGATCAAATTTACCTTATTACTCTTTCTTATCCTTCTTCCCCCTTTAAGCAATTTTTAATGTGCTTCTTTACACAAATACCATTTTTATTTTTTATTAAAAAACCTTTTTCTTCAAAACGAACACATTGGTGAGTTGCAAGTATATTTAATTCTTGGCTCAATAGGAAACACTTATTTTCTCATATTTCTATCTGCTTTTGATTTGTTATATGTTTGGTTGAAAGATAAGAGATTTGACCTCACATAGAACTTTGGGAGCATTTTCACAGCTCATTTAGTTAATTGTGGATATTCTTTGTTGTTAACATCAAAACATGACATGTGGCAGTTTCTTAAAGGTGAGCTTCAATGTATAATCAGAAAATATATCAGGGCAGGTGTGGTGACCCATGCCTGTAATCCCAGCTACTCGACATGCTGAGATCAGGAGGACTGTGCTTTGATGACAGCCCAGGCAAAGTTGGGCTTGGTGTGTGTCTCTGTAATCCCAGCTATGGAGGCATAGCTGAAGCTTGAGGCCAGTTCCAGGCAAAAATATGAGACCCTATCCAAAAAATAACTAAAGCTAAAAAGGGCCGGAGGGTGGGAGGCTCAAGTGGTAGAATGCCCTTCTAGAAAGCGTGAGGCTCAGAGTCCCAGTATTTCAAAGTAGTCTATTATTAATTTTTACTGTTTCATTCAGGATATTCTAACGTGAACCTCCTCCCTCTCCCCTCTTCCCGCACTGGGCCATGCAAAATACAGTAAGGAAGACTTCAATTTGGTGCTGCTGTCTTGATTCATGCTAAGATGCTGGTGGTCTTACCTAGCATTGATGCAAATGTTGACAGTACAAAAGACAAATAGCATCTCAGGATTTTTCTGAAAATAATTCTACCTCAAGGACCCCTCTAAAAAGGCCTTAGAGACCACTAAGGGTCTGTGGACCACACTTCGAGAACTATCAGGGTAAAAGGTATAGACACGGTTTTTTCTCTTCCTTTTCTCTTTCGGTGTTGCAGAGTGAATCCAGGATCCTGAGCATTCTAGGCAGGCGAAAAGTGGGGTCGTATCACGTGCTGAGCACAAGTTTACTTAGTAGACTTAGGGTGTTCAGCCATCTCTTATGTTATGAAGATTCAAACAAGGCTAACAGATAGCAGTCTGCTTGTATTAGCTAATATAACTAGAGAACCTTTTAAATTGAGCTTAAAAAATTGGTGATATTAGATTTATATTTGGAAAATTTATTCTATTTCATATTTGTTTTTGAGTACTTGTATCTGATGAAGTAATCTACATTCGGATTACTGAGTATTGTTATGGTTTCCTGAAGTGACTGACTGTTAATATAAGCTTTAAATAGTTTGTGGTGACAGTTAATTGAAAGTTTGCATATTCTTTTCTTTTACTCCGGGCCTTGCACATTCCAGGCATGCGCTCTACTGCTTGAGCCACGCCACCAGCCAGAAAGTTCTTGCTTGGAAGTGGTTTGATTTCTTGCTTATCTATATTACTTGTGTGTGTTTGCACATTAGTAACTTTTTTTTTCCGGATGACTTTGTCACTAGGTGGATTTAAGTCAGTTTTTGCTTTGCGCTGGACTTAGAAATCGTCCTGCTTTAAACACCTGCAGTTCTGGGGTTGACCACTAGATGTCATCAGTGCCATGGGAGCGTTGAGGTCTTAGCCAGGGCGGGTAGAAAATGAACATCCTAAGCTCAGAAACTGCACATATTTCACTGTTTCCACGTGATTGGTGCCAGAAGAACCTGATACAGTGTGATATATAGAAGCAACGTACAACTGGAATAATGAAATTTCAAAAATAAGCCTTTTTAAAGGAAGGTTGTAATAGTTCTATTGGGTATTGTAAATGCTTCAGGTGCATTTGATACTGCTCTTATGTTCCCGGCATTTGGGTTTTTCTCTTTTTTTTATGGAAAGATGGATTGAACTTCAATTTAAGAATATCTAGTAATCCCTCTCAGGACATACTGTAACAGCTGGTATTTTTGTGTTGTAGTAAATTGATTCCATACAACAGTCAGTAATAATTACGGCTGGGTTCTGACAAATTTCAAAGCATGTTCAATAAATTTAGCCAAAGAAAATAACATTATTACACAAAAATTCAACTCAATTTGAAAGTCAGACCCAGAAACGCTACTTCACTCCACAAAATGTTAAGTATTTTACTGGTTAGGATTCGATAAAACCATTAAAAAAAATTCGTATATGTAAAAAAGAAATTTGTATGTGTGTATATGTTTTGAGTACTTTGTAGCATATATACTAAAAGATATTTACACTATAGTAAATATACAGCTTTGAACAAATTTAACCTTGAGTGTTCATTATGAAATTAAAAAATGTGAAATGCTAAGTCCTTTCGTATGTGGCAGTAATAGCTCAGAAGGATGTTTCAATGTGGAATGTAAGATTTTCTTTAGTATTAAAAGGAACAAGAATGTACCAAGTTGTTATCAAGTTTTAATTTTGTTAGCTATAAGCATAAATTGACTCATGATGTATATAAAAGTTTATAAAAGTGAAACTTTGTAAATTCTTTAAGCTATAAAGAAAGTGGTAGCTTACACTGATATAGCTAGTACGGAGTCTGTATTTCAGTGGTAGACATGTTTGTGCATATGCTTTGCAAATTTTAACTGGTTTTCATTTTTTTCTGTCAGCAAACCAAAATTCTATTAACTGAATTTTTTTTTTCTGGACTTTCTTTGTGTATGACTTACTTTATTTCTTCCATTACTTGATAGAGTTGACTCTTAATCCTGATTAGAATAATCATGAAACCGAAGCAGTTTCCTTTTAAAATTATTGGGGAAAGCAGTGTCTGAGCTGGACGCTGACAAAACCTGACTTTGTCTTTCTCTCATTTTTAATTTTTAGCTTAGTAATTTATATTGTCACCTGGTATTTAAAATAATGACCCTCATATTTTAAATTGGCACTCTTTTTTGTATGGATTTATATGAATGTTTTAACTGTGTCGACCATTGTTACAATATAAAGCAGACTTCAAGAGTCACAGCAGATAGTCCAGTCCAAGAAAGTCTATTTGATGGTGAAGTTTTTATACTTTTGCTTTGACAATTAAAAACCTAATTTAGAAGGCTTTAATGGAAGTTTACAGTTGGATTTTTTTCAAAGAAAATTTGGCAGGCTCATTTTTCTTTATTTTATAATATAAGTCAACAATTTAAAGGCTTTAGAAATTGATGTGAAACCAGTTTTCCAGTATTGACAGTATCTATTTTTCTCGTTGCCATTAATAGCTGTTAAAATATGCTTTTAAGTGACTGGATTTGCTGCATGAAGAATTGGTTAAAATGCATTACAAATGAACTTAAAACATTGTGTAGTTCTGATTTTTACAAAAATGTAAATGCACTGTATTTTCCATTATTAGATAGCAAATGATCCAAATTTAAACCACATGGCCTCCTTTTAGGTGTTAGGCCAATGTAAATTTTAATATTTCTACTTTCTTTTATGTTTTAATTTTGTAATTGTATTACCCAAATAAAAAAATTTTATAGCCAGCTTTTATTGTTTGCTTACTGTATGCAAGACAGTGTATGGTATATGTCTTAACATGTTTAATTATCAAACAGTTATAAGTTATGTTTATTTGCATATAAGGAAATTAAGGCTTAATAAGATTAAATAACTTGTCCAAAATCACAGAACTAGCAAGGTTAGAGATTAAACGAAACTTGAGTCTAGGCACTTAGCTATTATACTTTCTTTACTTCTTATTTTAGGAGAAACATTAGTTAGGATAGTTATTAAAAAAAAACTCACTATTTTCCAAGATACGTAAAAACTTAGTTCTAAAAGCGCTTGCTTATTAGGTTGTACCATTTGGTTTAGTTTAGATTACTAACACTTCCGCCGATCTATACTGATGTCTTGCTTCAATTTTAGTAAAAATTCTTTTTTAAAGTTACTTGTAGTTTTCAGTTAGAGAACTTTACAATTGTCATATTAGAATGAACTCTTTAAAAATACAGTTATAGTTGGCTGGCAATTCATCTGGTCTCTCTTCCACATTTGGAAATGTAGCTAGAATTATGATAACAGAGAGAAGGAATTTTAGAATGATATTGATTTACAGAAGCTTCTTAAAGTTCTCCATGTGTCCGATCAGCAGCCCCTACACCAAATGTAAGAATCTTTAAGGAAGCCTTGATACGTGTATGAGGAGCGTTCGTGTTTTCAATTAGAAATGGCACATCAAAATCACACACTCTCCCCCTGAATATCTGTATATAATCTGTAGAAGAAATTCTGCAGAACTGTGATCACTTGGGTAGTGTGTTGGAATAAAACTTTTGAATTAGTTACAGAATATTGCAATTTAGTGATACTCATATATATATATATATATATGTATGTATGTATATGTATACATATAAGTGTTTCTTTTCTTTCTAGAAAGGACTCCTTTGACACATCTTGGTCTACAGCAAGGCTTCAGGCCGCTGAACTGAGTTCCCTGTGGCTTTCTGTGGAGAGAGAGTGGAGGGCAGCTCCTCACTCACAGCCTGCACAATGCCGGCCCTGTCCACGGGATCTGCTGGTGATACAGGTATGTGAACCCAAGGGGGCAGTTGTCTTCCCTCTCTCACTTCAGCCTTCTTGTTCACAGTGGGGTGCAGCACTATAAATATAAAGAGGTCATGCTTGTTTCTCAGTGACCAGCATGAGTAGCATAAAATCACCTTAGTTACACCCTTGCTGGATAAAGTTGTCGGTGGAGGGCATCCACTGACTGCTTTCTCCAGGTACTGATAATGGGTGCCATATTGTCTTGCTTTTTGAATAATACCATTCATTTAATTTGTAAAAGTTAGATACCCTAAACATATAGCAAATTCTACCTACCCATTTGTGCTTCACTGAGATTTAATAACCGACATTAACGTTTTGCCATCCTTGCTTCGGACTTTTTGCTTTAAGGAAGAAAACATCCTTCTATTCCATTCTTTTATTTTCTTTTCCCGTCTCAACAGATGTAAAATCTATCTTGAGTTTGATCTGTTTCATTAAGAGATTCAATTAAAACTAAAAGAAAAAACTGTATTTCATCTCATTATTAGTTGTAAGGTTTAGAGATATATAGTATAAATATTTCTAAGAAAGAGAAAACACACACACATCCTGTGTAACAGTAAAGTCTCTCCTTTCTGACCTGATTTGTAGGGTGTGGTGGGGTGGTGGATATCCCTTTGAGGTTCTCCTGGGGCTCCTCAGACAGCTCTGTTTAAAAGTGTCAATTCCTGAAGCCTCCAAGAGCTGTTAGGCAAGTAGGGAAGACGGGGGTGGGGTGGGGGTTGGGAGTCAGGGTGGGGTGGGTACAGCCGGGTGGTAGAATGCATGCTTAGCATTCATGACACACTGGGTTCAATTCCTAGTACCAAGAAGAAGAAAAACAAGATTGAGTTGATGCTGGGGGCTGTGCTATGCATTTTTATGATACCTGAAAAGAAGTGGTGACATTGTATAATTAAAAAGAATGCCATCTGTTTCTTGCTGGTCATACTGAATTTAGTCTCACTGATCCCATTCTCTAAGTAACTGAAATTGCTGTCTTCAGCCTGGATCATTCCAATCACCGGCGCCATATTTTCAAAAACCATTTAATCACAAACCTAATTTTGTGTTGTAGTTACCTTGGTATTTCCATTTGCATCATTTGTAGATACCATTCTAGTATATCCATAAATTTAGGAAGTTTTATCTCATCTTGATCAAGAGTGATTTTTTTACACTTGAGATTTACACTAAAGATTAGTTTTCGTGAGGAATAACTTTTGATTGCTAAATTATATAATTCTTTTTCTTTCTCAAGATACTAACTTGGAAACCAACTCCTTTGGAAAAGATGTTTTCTTTTTGTAGACCCACATTGTTTTCTACTGCATAAAAATGAATGATTTAACTTTCCATTGTTGTTTGAAAACTTATAGCTAAAATTTATGTGAGTCATAGATTTTGCTACAGTTGTATAATAATTCTTATATCTATTACTCACCAAAATGTATCAGTTTAATTGAATGCAAAATATAAGCAAAATATTGTTGCTTATATATAACTCAAAGAATAATGAAAATGGAGTGTTTTTAATTTGTACAGCAGTTTAGGTGTCAGTCATGAAAAATAGCATTAGCTATATAGAATCACAAAGAGCTTAGTGCAGAGTTAAAGTGCTGACCTGTTGGTACCCTATGTCAGGATATTTTTTTTACTTTTTGTCTCAGCAAGATTTGCGTAACGCACAGAACACATGTTGGTTCCAAGGTCAGTACACCCAGGAAGCCCCAAAATATAGTGTTCATGCAGATGTTTATTGTCCCTTCCTAGGTCCGCCTTGTCTAGATTGTTGACCAGTCCAAAGTCATTTTTACCATAAGCAGTGCTGCTTAGCAATATCGTTGATGCCCGATTGTCAGGACACCAGGAGAATAAAGTTAGAGGGCCACTGATGGTCAGAGGCCCACGCAATGGTGAAGGGTACCTGACTAACAGCAGCCTAATGTTCACAGTACTCATTTGAGAAAATGCTTTCACCATAAAACTTTCAGCCCTCCTCCCTTTTCCTATTTCTGCTTGTTTCCCTAAAGGAAAAAAAAAAAAAAAAATCACACCAGAACAACGTGAAACAGTCCCCTTTATTCCAGCCTCACTTTCTCAGTTTGGTAGGTATCCTTCAAAAGTTTTCTGTGCATAAATGCTTAGTCTGGAGTCCAGCTCTGTGGAAGAGCACATGCTTAGCATACGTGAGGCCCCAGGTTTGATCAGCAGCATCAAATATCCAAAAACAAACAAAACAACAAATACCTATTTGAGTTTTTTTAAGTCACAAATTTTATTATATGCTGTGGATTGTTCTGTAACTTTCTCATGAGGTATTCCCATGGTGTATTTGAAAGTGTATGTGTCTGTTATACATGTTTAACCATCTACCTACCTATCTAATCTATCTCTCTACCTATCTGCTCATCCCTGTATGCTCATACCTATCCCTGTATGCATCTGCATATCTACTCATTCTGCTGAACTTGTGCATAGTTTCCCATAGTGTCACAATGTAGTGTTCCATACCTTCCAGTATTAATGCGGTCCTGGTTCTGCTCCTTGCTTAAGTATTTTAGGATTAAGTATTTAATTTTATTTATTAAGTATCTATTAAGTATTTATTAAGTATTAAGTATTGGTTAAGTATTATTAAGTATTAAGTATTTATTAAGTATTAAGTATTTATTAAGTATTTAAGTATTAAGTATTGGTTTACCCTATTCTAATTTATTTGTAGAATTTTTCATTTATATTTTATATGTTAATTCTTTGGGCCTTATAGGTTGAGCACCATTTTGTCTAGTCAGCCATTTGTCCTTTTTTCCCTCTTGAAAAATATCATTTCTTTTAACGAGTTGAAAACTTCTGTATAATCAAGTCAATCTTTGTTTGTTGGTTTTGGTATCTTCTGCTTAAGCAGACCTTTCCAATCCCAAGACCATATCGATACTCTCTTAAGATTTTTTTCTTCTAATGATTTTTAAAGATTTGTTCTTACACATTTGGAATTTTATTCCAATTCCAATTTGTATGTGGAGTGAGGCACCAATCTAATCTAATGCAATTTTTTCCTATATGAATTGTTAGTATTCCATAAGCATTTATTTGATATTCATTCTTTCCACATAAATCATATGCCAGTATCGCATATGTTCTTTGTTCTCTTTCTTGGCTGTAATGATCTGTTGATTTGATCTTAAATTTTTTTTGTTTTTTGAAACAGGACTCGCCTTAAACTTGTGATCCTTCTTCTTTTGCCTCCCAATTGCTGGAATTATATGTGTGTACCATTACACCTGGCTCAAAAAATTTTAATTGAATAATTTTTGTAGAAAATTTAGAATTACAGAGAAATTACAATAACAGCATAAAGTTCCAATATACCTCACACCTAGTTTCCTCTGTTATTAATATCTTATATTACTATGGTAAACTTGTTTCAGTTGGTGAGGCAATATTGATGCATTATATTAACTAACATCTATATTTGATTTAGATTTCCTTGGTTTTTTCCCCAGTTTTTTTTTGTTTTTGTTTTTGTTATAGAATCTCTTTGAGGCTACCACATTACATTCAGTTGTTGTGTCTTGTTAGGCTACATGACTGTGATGATTTTTCAGATTTTCCTTAAGTTTGATGACCTCAACAGTTTTGAGAAGTACTGCTCAAGCATATTATAACTTTGCCCTTTATTTGAATTTGTTTGAAGTTCTTTCATGAAAATACTGGCATTACATATTTTGGGGAGTAAGAACAAAGAGGCAAAGTCCCATTGTCATTAAATGTTACTAAAGACACACTATCGATTTAATTAATGACTACTGGTGTTGACGTTGCTCAGCTGGCTAAAGTACTGTTTGTAAGTTTCCCCCACTGTAAATTTACTCTTTCCTACTCTTGCCATATTATAGCTTTGAAAGGAATTCTCTCCGTGCAGCTTAGCAGGGTTCTGTGTTCTGTTCTTCCTCCTATAGAGTGAGGTATCTATATAAATTACTTAGGAGTTTTTGTCTCTTCTTCTCCATTTATTAATTGATTCAATCATTTATTCATATAATTGCTGACTTGAATGTTTATTTTTTACTTTGGGTCATAATCCAACACTATTTTGTTGTTCAGATTGTTCCAGGGTTGGGCCTTGGAGCTCTTTCCTTTGGCTCCTGTGATAAACCCTACATCAGTTTGTACTTGTTTGTGTCTAGCACTTCCTTACTTTTGACATCAAAGGGTATGTGGATCACCTGGCTTAGTACCACCCTAGTCCTAGCATTATCTGCTTCCCTAAGGAACTGGATTTCTTTCTTTGGAGAGTGGGATAAGAAACAAAGGTCTGGGGAGTTGGAATGCTTTTTGCTACTTGAGTAATATTTTAGTCCCTCCCTGTGGACAAAACAGAGAAAAGTATATATTAACTCATGCATAAACACCCATGTGGATATGTGAACATTTCTGTGTGCAGTCAGATGTGGCTATATTATGCTAATGTAAATTCTTACTGATGTCTGCAACTGTAACCCATTGTCAGATGGGTCATCTAGTGACTTCCCTTGCTTATCTGTAAATTCCTTCTGCAGAGTGAAGGATGGTGCTCCAGCATCCCTTTACTTGTTGTTTAAGCCTAGGTACATCTGAAGCAGTGTCAGAGTTGTTAACTCATGGGAAACAACTTTAGAGACGTGAGCTTATTACTTTATTCCTGTAATAGTGCCAAATTTATTTTATAATCTAATGGAATCATTCCTTTCCTGCATAATACCTTATGTTAGTTTTAGTTTCATAATTTCATTAAGTGTGATTGTACAGACATATAATGTGACATATAATATATGTAGAGAGAGAAATTATGTAAAACTTTTATAAGTACAGTTTTAAAAGTGCTTATAACACGAACGTCTATGTGACTACCACCTAGGTTAAAAAATCAAATACCTGGAAAGCAATCCCTGCTCTGTCATTGCTCCGTCAGTCCTCCTCAGAGATGGACAGGGAGGAGAGACGATACCTACTTCA